GCCAAAGGTCGCGTCCCTAAGGCTCCTCTAACTCCAAATAAGGCCGTTGCTATGTGTCAGCCCCTTGCAGAAGCCAGGGTCCAGGAGAGAAGCCCATGTAGGTTGCTCAGGGAAGACGGAGTTTAGAACTCCCAAAGCTGAGTTTCAATACACAAAGCTCTTTATTTCGCTTTAAAAACAAACTGTTCACAATAACCAAAATCTTCCACGCTCAGCTGTGTGATCTCATAGTTCCAAACTCAGTCCATCCTGGCTGGCCGGCTGCAGGGCGCCCGAGTGGTACGAGGAGAGTTCTGAGCTCCATTTGCACGCCGCCCAACAGACAACCTGGCTTCTCCCTAGTCTTCCCCAAGTGCCTTCCTGTGCAGTCAAAGCAACCCACAGAGCTGAGAAACCGCTAGGGCTGTAGCTCCGCGCTTGCACCACTGCGGGGCTCCGCGCGGCGGGCCTGAGTCCTCGGGAGACCGGAGGAAGCGGCCGCGCCCGCCTCCCGCCCGGAGCTCCGCCCCGCCCCCGCCCCGCCCCCGCCCCGGGCTGACTTCGCTGCTCCGCGCTCCCTCACTGCGCCACCGGGGCCAGGGGGCTGCCGCCGGCGGGATGGAGCTCTGGTTGGGGATGGTCGTTCAAAAGCTGTTCCTTTGGGGCGCGGCGAGTGCAGTCTCCCTGGCCGGCGCCACGCTGCTGCTCAACATCCTGCAGATGTTGGCCAGCTACGCGCGGAAGTGGCAGCAGATGAAGCCCATCCCCTCGGTGGCCCGCGCCTACCCCTTGGTGGGACACGCGCTGCTGATGAAGCCGAACTCCACAGGTAAGGGGCTGGGGCCCGGTGGACTCCGGCAGCAGAGCTCCAGCAGGACTCCTTCCTGGAGCCGCTCTAGGGCTCGCAGTCCGCTCCAAGCTCTCAAACTCCGAACCCCTCAGTTTCCACCTGCCGGAACTCCAGGACTGGAGGCGCTGGCTGCTGGGAGGACTCGTCATCCTCTAGAGTGGATTCCCAAATCCATCGAGGTTTCCTCTGGACACCTGTAGGAGTGGCTCGCCCCCCACCACGCAGCACCTAACGTCTCTTTGTGTATAGCACGACGTCGCGTTTACAAAGTCCTCGCCTCCAGCTTTTCTCCTTCTTTTCCTGCTGGAGCTGTGCAGATCTCAAAACCCTGTCGTTTCTTCAGGCTTGGCTTGCAAGAAAGACTCACCCGGAACGTGACAAACGCCCCCCAAAGTTAGTGCCAGGCTCCTGTCCCACTCTGTAAAGTAAAAGGAGTTTTTCTGAGGTTTCACCGTGCGGCTTAACCACAACATACTTTCGTTTCATTTAGACTCTCATATTTTAATCTTTTTAAGGAGGTTTCATAATAGTAGTCGATAAGCAGTTGTGTTGAAAGGGCCTTTAAGCAAATTTTTATGGCAAGTTTTCATAAGCCTTGTTTAATAAAGAGTGAATTTTTAAAATTAAAATAATATTTTTTAAGAAAAGAGATGGACTTATGTTTTATTCGTGGGGAAAAAAAATCATTTTAAGTTAGAAAGCTCTCCAAAGTACCTGGGGTCTGTAGTCTCCCATAAGGACAGCGAGCTACACCGCCATACCTCACTTCCGTGGGTGTATAGATTGGGATGCCCAGAGCCAAAAACATTTATCCAAAAGAGCATTTTTTTCATTGGACTCTGGCCAAAACCCAGTTTCTTAAAAACAGTGTTTGACAGGCTGAGCATTACCTCCAAAGCTTGAAGGAATATTTCATTTTCACTGCTTCCTCAGATAAAACCAGCACTGTCCTTTCAACTTCATCAAAGAGGAAGCCTAATGAGAAAGGCTTATTAAACTATTAACTGAAAGAAGAAATCCTAGTAAACGTTTTCAACCAAATATCAATGACTGAACGGTACAAGTAACCTGAAAGCACATTTATATATATGAAAATCACATTGCTAAAAGTCACCTTGGTCAACACAAAAGGACAGCTAACCTCCCTTCAACTGGAAGACTTCCTGATGTTAATAATCATTGCATAGAGACATAGATTCTCCCTATGTCAATCATAATCTCAAAAGATAGTCTCAAATTCCATCATCCCAAATATTGACATTCTGAAAGATCAAAACTCCTAGTATAAAATTCCCCAAATATTGAATATTTCAAATCCCAAACGCTGAAATCCTGAAAGCCAAAAAATCAAAACAGACAAAACAAACAAAAAACTCACTGCAAAAAAGGAGGATGGAAAGCCTAATTCTGGGGAAGAGATGAATGGTTCTGATTATATAGAGAATAGTTGCATTGTGTTAGCCAGAAGGAATACCTAGAAATTATTTTCTGGGAGTCTGCTTCCAGTGGAGATTATTGTGTGAATTTCAGTGGATTTAAGTAGAAAAGATCCATCCTTAGTGTGGGCAGACACCTTCCAATCTATGGTGGCTCTGAGGTAACAAATGTGGAAGGCAAATAGATTTCTGATAGCTGGGATAGAATTTTTTTTTTTTTTTTTTTTTGGTGCTTTGAGCAGCAAACTCCTAGCTCATCAGCCTTCAGGACTAAAGCCAGTGCTGGCCTCTGTCATCCCACTTACTATTCTGTGGAATTTCATCTTTATCATTTCCAATACAAGGAAAATTATACAACCCACAGAGTTCTAATGCATTGTATGCATTTTTGGTACATTTTGACATGGCGAAAGCTCACTAACACAGTGTTGCTTTTGTGGTAAGCACTGTACAAATATAGAAGAACACTGAAATACTGTCTTAAATGAAGATATATCATTTTCTTAATATCTATTCACATCTGTGAAATATAAAATTGTGAAAAAAAAAAAAAGAAATATAAAATTGTGAGCTCTCAGTCTTTGTCCAGCTGGCTATGTTGAGATGATTCATCTCTGTGGTTTTTGACCTGCCTTTTCACAAAACTTAGGGTGTCTGTGATGGTATTCCATGTGCCAGCAGCTCTAAAGTTGTGTGCACACAGTTGCCAACCATACCGATAGGTGATTATATATTTTGCTCTTTGATCCACTTTTATGAGTATCATTTATCCGCTTGTGGCTGTCAACTATACCTGTGTGGCTGTTATTAATACTCCTTTTTAAATAAATATTGTGAAACATATATCACTTTTTATTTTTTGTGCAAAATGGCTTATGAAGTGTTCAGTCATGTTTTTGTTTCTCAAGTCTTTTAAAAATATACTTATTAAAGAATTTTTAAATTATTTTTTAAAACTTTTCAGGATTTTAATCTTATAGTACTTTAGCCTAGGGTATTAGACACTGAGTATTTTGATCTTTTAGGATTTCACTATTTAGGACTATCAAGTTCATAGTAGTGTCTTTTGGGATTATGACCTAATTCTAGATTCTCCTTCCCAACTTTATTCCTAGAAAGTGATACATTGAAGGAATATTGTCATATATTGAGAAGGGATTCCAAAAAATAAAATCTTTAATAAAGAGACCAGTTTTAAAACAAACCATGAGCTGATCGGACTATTTAAAGTAGCTCTTTGTGGAATGACTCAGAAAGTCATTCCACAAAATCATTCCAAAAAACAATATTTTGGTATTTACAAAGTGGCATTTTATTATGTCAACAAGTACTGGGTTCTTCTGTTATGGGACTTTTGCTTAGTTTCCAATTTTGTACCTAGCTAAGTTAAGGGAGGTTTTGATTTTCCCTTATCATTTTATTTGTAAAAGGAACTGTATTACAGAGTTAGATTTTTAAGGCCTAAACTTAACCTAAGGAAATTTTCTACACTACTGTCTGGAAATTGGCTAAAATAAGTCCTTTACCCACTAGTCAGGCATTTACTGACTCTCTGCTTTGTGCCCATCATTGAGCTCTGCAAAGTTGGGAACCACGCTACCCCAAGACCCAGTCCATGTTCTGAGTTACACTGCTTTTACACAAAAGGCTCTGGCTTCCATTCTGGGTCAGAAGCCTGGATTCTGGCTCAGTTTTCTCACCTATAACATCGCTTATTGCTTCTGATGGCTTTTACATCTTGACCTGGTGCTTCTCCAGTCCCTGGTGTGCCTAGCTGTGTCCAAAGGCCTCACAGCTCAAATCACAGATTCAGACTTCCTCTTTCTTTCCATTATGCAGGATGAGGCAGGCAGTATGATAGCAGGAAGTCACATGTTTTGACGCTGGTGATCCGATCCAGCTCTTTCCACAGCAGTTCTGACAACCATTGAGACATTGCAAAGCCATGTGTGTAATGGTTAAGGTGCCTTCTGGAGGCCAGGCGCAAAGCCTAGCTCTGCCATGTACGAGCTCTATAGCACTGGATAATGGTGTTTTAGAAGTACATCATGGGCACAGCGAAACCTAATAATACTTGCCCTGTAATAACCAATATTGTGTTATATTTATGATGGAAAATACTATCTTGGAATAATTTTATTTATTTTTTGTATTTTAAGGAAAGGTCTACAGGGTGTTCAGGGTCTCACCGCTAGACTCGTAGTCTTGTAGTGATCCACCTGTTTACAACCTCCCAAGAGCTGGAATAACAGACACACGCCACCATGCCCAGTCTCAATTGCCCTCTCAGTGTGCCCTGGGGGTGAGGCCAGCATGGCAGGCCTGGGGATTGAACCCCTGACCTCTGCACCTGCTTGCAGGTGCTTTAATCCACTGAGCTATTTGGCCTGCCCTTGAAATAATTTTAGAGCTATATATAAGTTGCAAAAATAGTACAGAGTTGACATGTGCCCCTCAGCATCCTTTAATGACTCCTTGAATAACTACATAATTATCAAAATGAGACCATTAATGTTTGTCAGTAGTATTAGCAAGATTCCTTTCTTGATTGAATTTAAAATGAGATGTTTTCTCCTAGAGTTCTTTCAGCAGTTAATTACTTATACCGAAGAGTTCCGACACATGCCACTGCTGAAAATCTGGGTTGGGCCAGTGCCAATGGTGGCCCTTTATCATGCAGAAACTGTAGAGGTGAGTATGTGGTAAGTAAGATGGATATTTTACATGTATTGGATAGTATGAGGATAATTAGGATCAAAGTGCCCTTAAATTTCATTCAGCTCAGTGTAAAGAGTCTTCCATTAGATATTTTGGGTATGTTGGTTCCATGTAGTTCTTTCTAGATGTTGTGAGAATCCCCGGGGAGACTAGTGTTCTTCATGCATCTTTGTAAACTCTCAGTGTATTTGTTCTCCTTTTTTGGAAAGTCTGTAGAGGGATGTGCCTTTTAGAACCACGAATAGATTATTCCACAAGATTACCATTTGGTATCACCAGACACAGTTGTAAGATTCCCAAATGTGACTAATTAAATATGGTGTTTCCCTCACAGTGCTCAGGGCCTCCTATGATAGCAGTGAAAAAATTCGTTATTCTACATTGAGAGGGGAATGCTAACGTGATGTTGTTGACAGAGTAGACATTAAATCCCTGCAGTTGACATTAGTAATCAGAAAATCTGTATTCCTTTTAGTATTGTGCCACTGTATGCACAATTTAGTACTGTGCCACTGGGCCAACTATCTGGTGGTATGATGAGGAAAGGATTTGAGTTTGGCTCAGAAAGTAAAAATGAAACAGAGCTTCTCTCCATGGAACAACACTGAAAACAGAATTCCCTAGGGGACAGTGCTGGAGCAGGTCTTGCTTAGTTGCTGTGATATAGTGTGGGAGTTTTCCTTATACCATGCTGCAGAATCCTATTTCAGGCAAGGTAATGAGCAGAACCTGGCATAGGATTCTGGCTGCTACAGACCTCCTGAAGTTGGGTTGGTGTCTGTGTTCCCTCTTAGGTGCTCATCTTCCTACTTAGCTCCAACTCTAGGCAGTTCCACCACATGATTGATTTCAGTGTTAGCTCCACAATAGACATGGACATATGCTGCTCTGAGCTTCACGTTTGCTTTCAGACCGTGGACCCCGGAGTACCTCTAAACCAGCACACTCCAAGACTCTCTCATGATTTCCATCTTCCTAATGTGGTCCACCTCCAAGCTTCTCTACCCTCTTTTTCCTGTCCTCATTTAATACCTCCACTTGGCTCCTGATTTATAGCAACAATCAGAGAATTATCTTTTCTTCAACTGTACTTAATTCCTCACACTAAATGCCAAGTATATGTTCAAACTCTGGTTAGAATTCTTTAAGGCACAAGAATGAACATGAACTTCAGAGAAAATAAAGGTTTTGAAATATATGTATATATAGTTGAATACTAACCGAATTTTTCTGTAATTAAAGTTGTTGTGATGTTTGTATATGTCTCTTTTGTTTCCTCTACCTAAGGTAATTTTGACTAGCTCAAAGCAAATTGACAAATCCTATGTGTACAAATTCATAGAGCCATGGCTTGGTTTAGGACTACTTACAAGGTAGGTCAGTGTAAATTTGTAAAGATGTCCCTAGTAGAAATAGTTACTTCTGTGTATAAATTGTTATTTAAGGAATTAATAAAAGATAGTTTTTCTGTAGCTTAACTGGTCTTAGGTAGGAGTAAAGAGGTTAGAAGGGGAGATCTAGACGATTGTGAGTCTCTGATAAAAGAGAGTTGGTATCTGGTCATCTCCAGCCATGCTAGTCAATAGTGACCACCACCAACGCTCCAAGAAGTAAGAGCTCTTGGTATTCAAGTGCAATGAAGCAAGAGAGTAGCCAGAGAAGGGAAGTTTGGAAAGCCAAAAAGAAGGCAGTCAGCCTCAGAGAACACTGAGCACAGTGACTTCAAAGCTGACTTGGCATCCAGAGATAGGATCTCATCTTCTAGGAGAGGGCCCAGCACAACAAAAGCAGGGTCCTCAGGAGGACTTTGGAGAATTCAGAAGCAGCAACAATGGAAGTACAGTGGTGGAGCTTGTGGACATCTGAGAAGTGAGGAAACAGTGGGGAAGGAAAACCTGAATTTTAGAGACTCGGAGCTTGCAAGTAGAGAGAAATTGTTAGATTTGTCTTCCTTATGGATGCTTTTTTAACTCTTAATATCATGGAATAGTGCCTAAAACATCTATATTTTGTAACTACTTGTGAATATTTTGTATATTTGCTATTCTGAGCAAAGCACTTGAGTTTCTGAAGGCAAAGCAGTTTTAGAGTTTTGCTGACTTAGTGATATTTGTGCTTTATTTGTGTTGGATAAGAGTCCTCTTGTTGTGTAACTATGTATTTTATTTCTAGTACTGGAATGAAATGGCGCTCCAGGAGGAAAATGTTGACACCCACTTTCCATTTTACAATTCTGGAGGATTTCTTAGATGTCATGAATGAACAAGCAAATGTGTTGGTTAATAAGCTTGAAAAACATGTTGACCAAGAGGCATTTAACTGCTTTTTTTATATCACTCTTTGCGTCTTGGATATAATCTGTGGTAAGCCTGATTGATTTATATCTAAAGTCATGACAAAAAGATCAAATAGCCCAGGCAGCAAATAACATTGTGTTCGGAAGGGAGATGAGGAAAGTGAACAGGATGTGGGATGCTTCATGCAGGTGCAGCTGATAAATTGGTCGTTGAGGAACAGCAGCCACTTATAGGGGAATAGGGAGAGCCTAGGAGTTGGACAGTGAAAGGGAAGGAAGAACCGGAGCGAGAAGTGGTAGGAGCAAAGGGCACAAGAAGGGCAGATGAAGGAGAAAAGCAATCCCAAGTACAGTGGGGAGGGAGAGGATTTTGCCTTTTCCAGTGTTTGTCACTGTAACATTAGCAAAACATAGTGCATGAATTGAATGATGCTTCTCCTCTGTATTTTATAGAAACAGCTATGGGGAAGAGTGTTGGTGCTCAAAGCAATGAGGATTCCAACTATGTCCGTGCAGTTTATAGGTAAATGGAATTTTTCAGGTATTCCTTAAATTGTTGAGTTGGACTTTTAAAAATGATTGTTAATTATTTCTGTCTATGTTGTACCTTTGTATTATTTTGAAAGGAAACATTAAAATCAAAGTTCAGCATGTATTTGAGCAGTAGAGGAATAGTTATATAAATTATGTTCTATTGAGATTATGCAGATACTTAAAATTATTACTTTTAAATATACTGAGATTATTTTATGATGTAAATTATGATAGTCACATTATGAAAGCATTGAAAGAGATAAATAATTTTTGTGTATAAGAAAAAATTTGTGGGGGGAAAAACCCCCAGAAGAAACAGTACTAATGTGTAAATCTGTAAGTGAATTTTTCTTGTTGCATTTTGTATACGATATTTACTTTTCTTTTCCATGTTTTCTGCACAGAGCAGGTATCGTTTTTTGTAATTTATGTAGTTTTATTTAAAATTGCTGGGAGGCTTTGCCAGATAGCTCACTTGTTGGGCCGGTCAAATAGCTCAGCTTATTAAAGCACCTGCAAGCAGGCAAACAGGCCAGGGTTTGATCCCCGGACATGCTGTGCAGTCCCTGCCCTTGGGCGCACTGAGGTGGCAATTGAGACTGGATGTGGTGCCATGCGCCTGTAATCCCAGCACTTGGGAGGCTGTAAACAGGTGGATCACTATGAGTCCGATCTACTAGCGAGACCCTGAACACCCTGTAGAACTTTCCCCAAAATACAGAAAAAAAATTGCTCACAATTACTCAGCTGCTAAGAAGGAAAGCCAGGATTTGGTTTGATGTATCTCATCTTTGTACTTGTTTGGTTTTGGTACCAGAGATCAAACTCAGCACTTTGTGCTTGCCAGGCAGGCACTTATACTGCTAAGCTGTCTCCCTAGCCTGATGTATCTCATTCTTAAATCTACTATTCATTTCCCTTAATGTTAGCAAGTATTGATTGGTCATCTGTAATATACCAGTCATCACACACAGGGCTGATTTTATAGGGGCACATAGAACATAATATCGTAGGAGCTTTAAGAATTATGACACTTGCTTAGGAAGAAAATATCAAACTGATGATAAACAAAACCAGGGATAGATTCTATGCAGGACAGGTCGCTGAAAAACTGCCATTCTGAAGGAGACAGTCACATAAAAACAGTCACATAAAAATCTTTCTGTTTCATCTTTGGGAACGAGAGGGAGTTAGGGACCTCCATGAGCATGCTTTCATAGAAGGAGACATGCGGTTGTTTATCATTCTGCAGAGGAGTGACCAGATGAGTGGATCTTTAAAAGAAGCAGATTTCCTCTCAACTTTTGGTACAAAAGACCTGGGCAGCTTTGAGAAGTTGAGAACTCACCTGAGATGAACAAGCGTAGAGACCAGATGCTTTCCTTAATGTTTTGTAGTAGGTTTGTCATTCCTCTAAAGAGTCCATTGGTTAAGCTTCCTGGGATGTGCACTAGTCTCCCCCTTCATTGCTTAGTGCTGAGTTTCAAAGATTAATCAGCCTCACTCACATGTATTCCCTTCATCAAGGCTAGACAACAAATAGGTGCTCAAGACATAATGCATTTCTAGTGTAAAGAGAGATGTGTTCTTATTCTATTGCAGGATGAGTGATAAGATTTTTCGAAGAATGAAGATGCCCTGGCTTTGGCTTGACCTTTGGTACCTTATGTTTAAAGAAGGACGTGAACACAGAAGAGATCTAAAGATTCTACACACTTTTACCAAAAATGTAAGCCATTTTTCTCAGTACACTAAAATACACTAACAAAAATTCACCCTTATATCCACTTGAAGTGTATGATTCATTGGCAGTGATTATAACCATCATCACTATTTCGATAAATTTGTAAGCCCATGATTTTTTGTTTTATCTGTATGTACAATGTAAGTCCCTAAAGTCTGTGTCCCATAAACTGAAAGGTAAATTGACAGAAAAAATTAATATAAGAGTGGCCTATATAATTACATTTAAATTATATGTTCAACTAATAATGAAGTATCCACTAACTGCCAAACACTACACACAGTAATAAATAAGACATGTGTAATCCCTTTCTCTCTAATATATTAGTCTAATAGGGGAAGTTATCCATAAACAAATTATAAGAAAATGTGATGCTGACCACGAACACTTCTTTGACAAACAGGGTGCTGTGCAAAAGAATAAGAGAAACATATCTGTGTCTAAGAATCTTCTGGAAAATATTTATGGATGATAGTAGTTCAAAAGCAAAAGACATTTAAAGCAGTACATATCTTAAAATAGAAAATAATGTTACTACTATTTCATTTCCAAATGAAAAATAAATGAGATAAGGCTTTTGGTTTGAAAATAGTACGTCAATCTTGTGTCATATGTGTTTATGAAAAAAGCAGGATTTGCTTGAAAAAAGCAGGATTTGCACATCAAATTAAACTTCAGTATGTTGAAAAAGTACCTATATGAATTATTCTTTCCCTACTGTAAACCTTGGTTAAAATACATTGGAATTTCTTCCTTATGGTCAGGAAATAGTATGACAGCAGCCAGTAGATTTTATTTTATTTTAAAGAATACAAAATGGGTTATAGGAAAAAACAGCATTAGAAATGATGCAAAATTTCCCTAAACAAAGTAATAGGAATTCAACAGTGGTTGCTGTATTGAATGATGTTATCTTCAAATTAGTTTTTCAGGTTACTAGATATAAATGTGCAAGATTGGTTAAAAAAAAAAAAGAAGTAAAATAATGACAAAGAAATTAAAAAGAAAAAATAAGAATAAAAAAATTAAGCCTTAACTGCTCCTTTTGAAAGACCAGAAGAGGGCTGGGGAAATATTTTGATAGTCTAAGTGCCCGCTTGGCAAGTGCAGGGACCTAGATTCAATCCCTGATACTGCATCCCATGCTGGACCCAGAACACCAGGCACGCAGTGCATAGGGAGACACTGCACCAAATAAATAAAGAAATTAATCAATTAAAATTATTTTTTAAAATTAAGGAGACAAGCAGAAATTGGCAGTACAGTTATTCAAGCTATCCTGCATATACATATACACACATATATATGAATATATCTTTTTTCCTTTTTTCTTTTGTCGTTTTCCTCATCCAAGGTTTTCCTTCCCATTGAACAAATTTTTTCCCTTTCACCGTATCTATACCTTTCTGATTTTATTTACTCTTTCTGCATCTTACACTAGCAAGAAATTATGATGTTTACACCTGTGGATTTAATATATTTCATTTACCAATATAGTCTCCAGTTGCATCCATTTATCTACAAAATCCTGGAATTTGTCCTTTTTGTAGCTGAATAGTACTCCACTGTGTAAAAATACCATATCTTTTTTATCCATTGCTCAGTTGATGGGTATTTGGATTGTTTCCAAGATTTAGATATGACAAATTTTTTGTTTGTTTGTTTGTTTGTTTTTGTGTGTATTTTTTTAGGGAAGGGTCTCGAGGGTGTTCAGGGTCTCATTACTAGACCGGACTCGTAGTGATCTACCTGTTTACAGTAGATCTGACAAGCTGTGCTGCTATAAGCATGAGTGCACATATATCACTATGGTAATTTTTTCCAATTCATGGGTTTTCTTATTCATCTGTTGATGATTTCTTTTGATGTGCAGAAACTTTTCAAAACGATATGATCCTAATTGTCAATTCTTTGAGGTAATTCCTATGAGTTTAATTTTTGTTCATGAACTCTCTGCCCACCCCTGTGTCCTTAAGATTTCTACATGCTTCCTCTTGTAGAATATTTAGTGTCTCATTTGTAATATTTAAATATTTGCCCCATTTTGATTGTAGTGTTATGCATGGTGACATGCATGAGTCAATTTTAAGCGTTCGGCATGTGGAAATCCTGTTTTTCCAGCAACGTTTATTAAAGAGGCTATCCTTCTTCCTGTGAAAGTGTTTGACCTCTTCATCAAAAATAAGGTGGCTGAGTGTGTTTTTAGTTGTGTCTGTATCTTACAATTGATTCCATTATTCTTAGGTATTTTTTTTTTTCTCCAATAGCATGTCAATTTTACCACAGTAGCATTATGGTATAATTTCAAGTCAGGGATTGTGATACCTTCTGCTTCTCCTTTGTTGCTCAAGGTTGCTTTTGCTATTCTAAGTCTCTTCTGGTTCTAGATGAATTTTAGGAGTGTTCTCTCTAGCTCTGTGAGGTACATTATTTTAATCAGGATTGCACTGCATCTGTACAACAATTTTGGGAGTATGGCCACTTTCACAATGTTGGTTCTTCGTATTCAGGAGCAAGGAATATCTTTCTATTTTCTGAGATCCTCTTCACTCTCCTTTTTCAGCACTATCCAATTTTCACTGCATAAATCTTTTATTTCCTTTATAGGATTGGTTCATAAGTATTTCATTTTGGGAAGTGTTTTTGTGAAAGGCATGATTTCCGTAGTTTCTTTCTTGGTGTGGTCATTGTTTGCGTGCAAAATGCTACTGATTATTGAGTATTGTCTTTGTATCCTGCTATGCTACTGAATTTCTACAAGTCTCTTAGTGGAATTTTTGGAGTATTCTAGGTACAGTATCATGCCATCTGCAAATAATGATAGCTTCAATTCTTCCTTTCCAATCATTATTCATTTTATTTCTTTCTCTTGTGTAATTGCTCTGGCTAATGTCTCCAGAGCTATATTGAACAGGAGTAGTGACAGTGGGCTTCTTTGTCTTGTTCCTGATTTTAAAGTGAAGGATTTCAAGTTTTGTCTGACTAGTATGATGTTGGCTGTTTGTTTGTCATAGAAGGCTTTTAACAGGTTAAGTAAAGATCATCTATTTCAATTTTCTGCAGGATTTTTATCATGAATGAGTGTTGGACTTTGTCAAAAGCTTTCTCTGCATCTATTGAGATGATTATGTGTTTTTTGTCCTTGGCTCTGTTGATGTGTTGCATTACATTTATAGATTTGCATATATTGAACTACCTCTGCATTCCTGGGGTGAATCGCACTTGGTTATGATGACTGGCTGCATTCTGTTTGCTGGTATTTTATTGAATTTTTCATCTATGTTCACTGGGGAGATTGGTCTGTAGTTGTCTTTTTTGGTTGGGTCCTTTTCTGGTTTTGGTATCAGAGTAATACTTGCCTCCAAGAATGAGTTAGAGAGAATCACTTCCCTTTCAATTTCATTGATGAATTTGCAAAGAGTTGGCATTAGGTGCTCTCTAAATTTCTTGTAGAATTCAGCTGTGAATTCATCAGGACCTGGGCTTTTCTTTGTTGGTAGGTTTTTTTAAAATTACATTTTCAATTTCATTGACTGATATTGGATTATTCAGAATTTTTATTTTCTGATTCAGCTTTCATAGTTCATATGTATCTAGAAATCTGTCCATTTCTTATATGTTTTTCATTATGTGAGAATAAAGATTTTAGAAATAGATATTGATGATCTTCTGAATTTCTGTAGCATCTGTAGTGATTTCACTCTTTTCATTCTTCATTGCATGAATTTGAATTTTTTATGAAGTTGATGAGGGGGTTATCAATTTTATTTATTCTTTCAAAGAACCAACTCTTCAACTCATGAATTCTTAGTATTTTTTTCTGTGTCTGTATTGTATTTATTTCTGTTTTGATGTTTATAATGTCCTGCATTCCTTGAGCTTTCAGCTTCACTTGCTCTTCTTTTTCTAGGAGTTTGAGGTACAGCATAAGATTATTTTTTTGGGCTTGTTCTGTTTTCCTGATGTTAGAATTTATTGCTACAAATATTCCTCTTAAAACACCTTTCTTTGCATCCACAGGTTCAGGCAAGTCACTCATACTGCACTTTCATTTGATTATAAATATTGTTTAATGTCTTTTGTAATTTCGTCTGTGACCCATTGCCCATTCAGGAGGGTATTATTTAGTTTCCATGTTTTTATGGAGTTTTGGCTGTTTCTTTTGTCAATAGTTTCCAGTTTCATTGCACTGTGGTCAGATAATATGCATGGGATAATTTCACTTTCTTTGCATTTACTTAAGCATGCTTTGTGTGCTAGCAATGTTCTATTTTGGAGAGCATCCCATTTGTGCATTTAAGAAGAATTTTTTTCTGACACTGTTGGGTAGATCACTCTGTAAAGGTCTGCTAAGTCCATTTATTCACAAATTTGGTTTGTTTATGTTATTTCTTTACTTATTTTTTGCTTAGTTGATCTATCTCTTTCTGTCAATGTGGTGTTAAAGTCCCCCAGTACAATTATTTTGTTACCCACTAGATTTTTCATGTCTGTTAAAATTTGTCTTATATAGTTGGGGTGCTCCTACATTGGCTGCATATGTATTTATAATTTTTATATCTTCCGTTTACAATTTTTACTTAAATGTATGTAATGACCTTCTGTATCTCTTGTAATAATGCTTGGTTTGAAGCTGACACTGTCAGCAGCCAGAATAGCTACCCCTGCTTTTTTTCTGGGTTCCTGTCACATGGAGTATTATTTTCCATCCTTTGACATTTGTTCTATCAATTTTTTTGAGTTAAATGTTATTCTTGTAGGGCCAGCCAAATAGCTCAGTGGATTAAAGCAGGTACAGGGACCAGGGGTTCAATCCCCAGGGCTGCTGTGCCAGCCCCAGCCCCAGGGCTCACTGAGAAGGCAACTGAGACTAGGCATGGTAGTTCATGCCAGTAATCCCAGCTCTTGGGAGGCTGTAAACAGGTGGATCACTATGAGTCCAATCTAGTAGTGAGACCGTGAACACCCTGTAGACTCTTCCCTAAAATAAAAAATAAATAAATAAATAAATAAATAAATAAAGTTTCTTGTATATAGCATATTGTTGGATTTTCTTTCTTTCTTTCTTTCTTTCTTTCTTTCTTTCTTTCTTTCTTTCTTTCTTATCTTTCTTCTCCCTTTCTTTCTTGTGGCCAGCTGGCCAGCTCAGCCCACCTGGGGGAGGGGCTGGTGCAGCTTGTGGTGCCAGGATTTGAACCACGGTTCCTGTGTGCTTGCCTAAGTTTGCCTAAGCAAGCACTTTAGGCTGCTGAGCTATTTTGCTGGCCCCAGGATTTTGTTTCTTGATCCACTCTGCTTCTTTTGATTGGTAAATTGAGGTTGCTTACATTGATGGTTATAACTGATATGTATTGATTGGCTTATCTTTGCCATATTGTTTTCCTACTGTGGGATTCCTGCCTTTCCCCTCTGCTTAATTGTTTGCTCTGCTTGGTGGTTCTCTTCTACTATTCTTAAAGTTGTGTTCTTCTTTGGGTCTTTCTGAAATATCTTTCAGTAGTCTTTGTAGGGTTGGTTCAGTTGTCATGAGTCACTTCAGTTGTTCCCTGCCATGGAAGTAACTTATCACTCCATTGAATTTCATAGACAGTTTTGCAGGATACATAAGTCTGGGATGGAAGATTGGAAGTTGTTTTCTTTCAGGACCTCAATATCTCACTCCAAGATCTTCTTGATTTGATGGTTTGTGTTGAGAAATCTGACATGATTCTGATGGGCTTTCCATCATAGGTGATCTGTTTCTTCTCTCTAACAGCTTTTAATATTCTGTCCTTTTTCTCAATTTCTGGGATCCTGATTGCTATGTGTCTGGGTGAAGATTTGTGTTGATTATGACTAGCTGGAGTGCTATATGCCTCACTTATTTGTATATCAGATTTGTTTCCCATGTTTGGGAAATTCTCTGCTACTACTTCTGCAAACAATCTTCTTATATCATTTGTGTTAACTCCACCTGTTTCATTGATGTCTATTAGTCTTATATTATTTTTCTTTGTGTCATCTTGTAGCTGTTGGATTGTTATTTCCTGATTCCTTGTTATTTGTAAGGTATCTTTTCTTTTGTGTTCACTAGCTGTAATGCTGTCTTCAAGGTCTGAAATTCCTTCTTCTGTTTCATTCAAGTGGTTTCACCAACTTTTAATGGAATTCTTAATTTCCTGAGATACCTGTTTGAGTCTGTTTCATGCATTCTAATTCTTTCCTATATTGTTCATTCAATGTTTCCACCATTTTCCTATTCCCTTCTATTTTTTCTATGTTTTCCTTAGATATATTGAGCAATTCTTTCATGATTTTTGTCATTTCTTTTTTACCTGAGAGATTATTTGTTTCTTTACTTCAGTTGCTATCATCTCAGAAATTTCAGGTGTGTGACTTTCAAGTTCTTCTGTGACCTTGTCTCCTGGACTTGTTTTGGATAGGGTGGAAGTCTGAGATTGCTTTTTGTTCCTTTTGTCATTTTTTTGAAGCCCCAGTGTTCTCCCTGACTCTGCAGTGATGGTAGGGTGCAGGGTACAGATCAGCAAGGCTTTCAGCAGAGTGGGAGGGCAGGGTAGGCTCACCGGAGCTCTCACTGTGTGGGGTTCAATGTGGCTTTCACCATGTTGCGAGGGGCAAGCCATAGCTCAGAAATGATCAGATGATGATGATTGTAGGCCAAGTTCTGCAAGGCTTACTTGATGGTGGGTTGGCAGGGCCGGTCTCCCCAAGGCTCCGGCAGGACCCTGTGGCAGTGTTCTAGCGATATAGGAATGTGAAATTCCCAACCTGGCCTGGATGAGTTCGTGTTCTCTAAAACCAAAGAATGAATTTTAGGAACAAACAGAGATTGAGGGTAAAAAATTTATTGGAAAGGAAAGCTTCTATTGGAGAGGGACAAAAGGGGGGCCCAAGCAGGTTGCCTTGGAGGCTGCTTTTTCCAGGGACTTTTATAGTGTAAAACTATGCAGGGTAAGGTAGAGACAATGGGGTCTTGCTTAGGCAGATGCAGGGTGGGACAAAACTATGGTCAACGAATGGGATTACAAGCACCATTGCTCAGGTAAAATTGATTAGGCCCAGGACCAAATGGTGTAGGGAGTCACGTAGCAAGTGGGCATGAATGTAAACAGGACCTTATCGGGAGGCCTTCAGCCCATAATTCTTCCTGAGTAATGGTCAGTCCTGGATGCCAGTCTTTAAGTTCGATTTACAGCAGGGGCTTCCATCCTTCCCACAGTTGTAAGGCGCCTGACTGTTGTTATTTCTTTTGAGGGCCTGACCCTGTCTGACTGCCTGCAATTTTCTATCTAACTCAGACTGCCTGAAACACTAGGAACCTGGATGCAGTTCCCCAAGGCAGTCTCTCTGGGCAATTCTGGGTGCCCAAGACTCAGCTGAACTCCAGCAAGTGTATGGGTAGTGGCTGGGAAAGGCCCACTAAGATACCCTGGTGGTCTTTCAGTTGAAGATGGATGGCTGAGCTTCAAAGGAACTTCAGTGAAGGTGAGGGAGGGCAGGGCTAGCCTACCAGGTCTAACAGATTCCCTGACAGTCTTCAGGTAAAAGATGGGTGGTCAGGCTGTATTTTTAAATTACATTTTCTCTTACATTTCAAAGCTTAGTATTTATATCAATAATTAATAAATTCAAGCCTAAATAGGCACTGTCATTCATTGTACAAATTTTGAAAATTGCACACTGAGATATTGGTAGAAAGAGCTTTGCAAAGAATAAAAGGAACTATTTTTTCCTCCATTGAGCTTAGAGTCTACGCATTCAAGCCACCTGCCAGAAAATTTGTAATTGCCTGATAGGGGGAAAAAGAAATGTGTAATAAAATGTATGGGCTTCAATTGTAGTCATTCAACAAATATCTAATGAGCATTCTCAAAATGCCAGTAGATGCTCTAGAATTTGGAAATATATCAATGAATAAAAACAAATTTGCTGCCTCGTGGAGAGTAGCATTTGGGTTGGAGGAAAATGATGATGAATAGTAAAATGTCAGGAGGTAAGTGGTATGGGGCAAAAGGAGGGTTGGGAAGATAGTGCTAGGGATTTTAGCAGAGATCTAGCTGTGACAGTGAACGGAGAGCTGAAAGAAGGGAAGGGAACACCCAGCAGGCGATGGAGGCAGGAACACCCCAGGGGTATGGAATGGCATAATGAGCACATCATGAGTTATGTGTTTTCCCCCTAACACAAGACACAGTAATTAAGAGTGATCTATAATCAGTTTCTTACATAACGGTAGTATTCTATCACTTAAACTTTTTCCTATTAACTCGTTAAAATCTCTAGAGTACTATTTAGTAGAGTATGACCTATTCCAGATGAGAAAGATTACAAAAATAAAACTTGAAAATTATTCACTTGTCTGATGTTAAATTTGTTTTTAATAGTTTCATGAAATAATGCTTTAATGTATTTCCACACAAGCCTAAGTTGTCATTGAAATGGAAAGAACAGGAAAAGTTTTAGAAAAAGTAAGATAAAGAAGCTAGCATACTTTCTTTGGAAAAGATGTGACCTTCACCATCCCACCAACCTTGCTGTCACTTACACCACACAGGTCATCGCTGATCGAGCCAATGAAATAAAGACAAATGAAGAAAGTAAAGGTGCTAACACAGGTTCTGGCTCCTCCAAAAGAAAAGGCCTGGCTTTTCTTGACTTGCTTTTAAATGTGACTGATGATGAAGGCAACAAGCTAAGTCATGAAGAGATTCGAGAAGAAGTGGACACCTTCATGTTTGAGGTATTTTCTATTTTCAGGTGATTTCTAGGTACCATTAAAAATCCCTTCCCTCTGAGGATAGCTCCATCACAGAGCACTTACCTAGCGTGGGAGAAACCCTTTCATCTCCAGCTCTGAAACAGTACAAAGCAAAACAAAAACAAGTTCCTCTTCTTTTCAGAATGTTTAGCATAGTTTTTAAAAAATTAACTGGTATTAAAGTGGTACAGTATACACAAGAGGACATTATATTACCATCAGAAATTACAAAATTTCTTATATTATTATGTTACCATCAGAAATACAAAATTCAGGAAGCTGATGAAGTACGAGGTCATCTTCCTTCTTCATAATCTGCTTTCTTTTTTCTTTTTCTTTCTTTCTTTTTTTTTCTTTCTTTTTTTTTTTTTGCGGAACCAGGCCAGGCCCTTGCACTTGCCAGGGAAGTGCTTATTCCACTGAGCCATCTCCCCAGCCCCTTCCTTCTTCAGAATCACATTTTGACTCTGCTGGCTACAGCAGTATACATAATTTTTCTCCAGAAAACCTAAGATTTTTCAGACTTTCTCTAAGCAGAAAAGCAGCCAGAAATTACTCTCAATTCTCTATGTTGCTTTGTGCTTCCTCTTAATCTCTCAAGAGGAAATTAAAATCCTCACTTCCTCCTCCTAGAGGTGTAACAAATGAACACTTAGCTACTGCTATGAACTGCATTAGCCACAGAAGCAAAAAGGAATCCTCCAGTAAACCAGGCATAGTATTAGATGCTTGTAGTCCCTGCACTCTGGGAGACGGAGGCAGGATCACAAATTCAATCCTAACCTGGGCAGAGGAGAGACTTAATGTGACTCTGTCTCAAAATAAAATAGAATAATAGAATAAAATAAAAATAAAGGGATGGGGATGTTGCTCATTTTGAAAATCCTGAAATCCATCCCTGGTACTACAATTCAAATAAAATACCTTCTTTCTTCATTGGAGAATCCAATCAGTTTGCAATTCTGAAGGAACTTTCGGTCTTTAATTTTTTTAAAAAGTACTTTTTACCAATATAGCTTTAAACATCAATTATTACAAAAAATTAAACTTTCTATATCTGGATTGCAAACTAAAGAAATGATGCTCAGAAGTAATATGTAGTAACATCCATTAAGTGGAAGAAAAACATGTCTTCAATGGCTCCTGCTGCCTCTGTCGAGTCACAATACAAGTGCTTGTGCATTTTTTAAACACAGTTTTATTTTTATTTTTATTTTTTTCATTTTCATTTTTAATAATTTTATTGAGACACAAATAGCAATGAGACAGTTTGAGAACCAATTAGTAGGACAGTTTGAATAATTAATACATTGCATATTGCTGTCTTAGTGGTTATTCACATTGCAAGATGCAGACATGATTTCCTGTCTACAAACACTATTAAAACAAATCTTTCTAATCATTGAATTGAAAGAAAGTAGCTGTATATCTATCCTATTTTGAATATACAGATACAAAATGGTCTTTCATTTGGTTTTTTTTTCAAAGTTTTATTGATACACGGATAGCAATGAGACACTTTCAAATCAAATTGGAAGTACAGTTTCAACAAATAATACACTGCATATATTCTTCTTAGTGGTTAATTGCTGTACAAGATGCGGACTTGTGATCCTATTTA